ATGCGGCTTCTTTATTATGGGCTTTACTATTTTCTGCCTTATTTGGCATTATCTTGCCCTTAATCGGTATGATTAAGACATAATAGTTCACCATGTGATATTTTAGGATGTTGCCTAATTTGGGGTACAACAACGCTTTGTATGGTTATGATAGTAAACCTGAGATATTAGGAAACATTCCAATTCTCCAGACTCCAGTTGCATCTCATAGAGTGTCAAATATGTCTCTACAGGGACGATATATTGGAGATGAACAGGTGTATGAGTCAGCTGCAACTGTAAAGGTAATAATTGCAAAATAATGTTTAAATTAGTAATAATGCAAAGTACAGATATCTATAAGCGTAGGATAGATGTTCATATTTATATCATGGCTGCAAAGATATTTTGAAAGAATCGAAACCATCGATTACCATTCGACTGTTACAAAAGTCCTATTCAGTGGTTTCGATTTATTTCGATACTGCACAACGATTTTTCAAATATTCATTTTCGGGTCTCGTTCTTATGGCTCAGAGGTCAAAAGTATCAAATATATCGACTCGTGGATATCAGTATTCTCATTCATTGGCGATCGCTGTGGTCACTCGTGAAGATATCAATATCACTCACGTATATAAATCATATTTTTCAAAACCAAAATATATTCCTAAAACATTACATTTCCTTTTATATAGAATATTGTATTATCATTGTATTGCATTAACTATTTATCACATATTCAGGATTGGTACTCTGATACCGATAGTCAAAAAGATCTAATGGATCAATATGGATCGCGTCCTCTTGGTTTCCAAGGTAAAAATCCCCCCTCTCAGTCTTTCTACGGGATGTATGATAATGATATATATGACAGTTCGCCAATGCCTGGACTGAACCAAGAACAGGTAAGTTATGTGTTGTCGAATAATGCTTGATATAGAACTAAATGTAACTGGATGAGTGTGTAAAAATATTGTACACATTCATTCAGTTACAATTAGTTTAGACATCCGCAATATACTAGCAACAAGTGCACTTGAAGAATCCGTATACTTTTCCTTATGATCGAAAAGGAAATGTTAAAGTATGAATATCAAATGCTTGTTATGTATAAGTAACAAACTTATTAAGTTTCATAAAAAATGATTATACCAATAGTTCAAGCGATTTATTTTTACGATTTTAGTTAAAGATGCATTATACCATAGGTTTCTCGCCCAAATGATGTTCCTTTGTTATTGCTTATATAATATTTCACATACCATGGATATATCTTGAGAATAACTTATGTGTATATTATTGCCGAAATATCGAAATAATCAACAGAACAACCAAGTGTCTTCCCATTTCGCCCCTTCCCACTTTGCCCCTTCCCATTTGGCCCCTCATTTATTCCCATTTGGCCCCTTCCCATTTCGCCCCTACCCATTTTGCCCCTTCCCATTTTGCCCCTATCCCAAATTGCCCCTTTCCCATTTCGCCCCTCTTCCATTTCGCCACTGTCCCATTATGTCCCCTTCCCATTTCGCCCCTTCCCATTTCGCCCCTTCCAAAGTGGCCCCTTCCCATTTCGCCCCTCATTTATTCCCATTTCGCCCCTTCGCAATTGGTCCCTTTCCCATTTCGCCCCTCGTTCATTCCTATTTCGCCCCTTCCTATTTCGCCCCTCATTTATTCCCATTTCGCCCATTCCCATTTTGGCGAAATTGGAAAGGGGCAAAATGGGACTATGAGGGCCAACAATGGAAGGGGCAAAATTGGAAAGGAGTGAAATGGGAAGGGGCGAAATGGAGAAGGGGCGACGTGGGAAGGGGCGAAATGGGACGGGGCGATAAGGGAAAGGGGCGATATGGGAAGGGGGCAACACGGGAAAGGGGTGAACTGGCAAAGGGGCAAAATGGGAAAGGGGCGAAATGGGAAAGGGGCCTATTGGGAAGGGGCGAAATGGGAATAAATGAGGGGCGAAATGGGAAGGGGCGAAACGGGAAGGGGCGAAATGGGAATAAACCGAACAACCAACCTCCAGAATTAAACACAATCGATTCCTCGGCTAGCGAGTGGAATCCCTGGTGATTCACAGGAAACGCGCCATGAACCAAGCAGCCAATCAGGTTCATGATAAACAGATTCAACGACCAATCAGATAAACGGGCGATTTTCCCGGTATATTTAAACATCAGATAGAATTAATTTCCGTGAAAATAATTAGATCGGTCAGCACAATCGCAAAATTAACACTGAAAGCGGGGGATTTGAGACTTCTTCTTTGGTAAGTAGATGGTTGAATATGTGGTTAAGCTCAATATGCAAAAAGGTCCAGAGGGGTCTTGATTGTGCTATTCTATGGTATAGAGCCTCTTTAATCATGCAGTCTCAGATTATGGTCCCGGGGATTCCCCTCTGGGGTGCCCTAATGTCAAAAGTTTGCCGGCTACACAACAATATATACGCGACCTTCAGATCCATTGGCTGCCATACAAATGCTTTGCTTGGTATGTTATACCAATAAATTTATATTTAACATAATTGCAGATATTGATCAGTCGACCAACGATACGGAAAACGCTAACATATCCAAGCCACGTGTTGCAGGGAAATAATAGGTCTAATATACACTAGGAGGGTCGAAGATGAATTAGCTTCCCAAACAATCACAAGCAAGTAATGCACAAACAAAACTCAACATGAAGTAAATACGAATGTAAACTGATGTACAAGGCCGGTCTTGGGAAAGGAATGGAACGTTATGCTATGAGTAGCCTAGGAGAATACATAGTATGACACAATTACGATGTAAAATATATACGTTTGAATATGTACCCGGTGTATTTGTATAAAACCAGTATATAAAACAAAGCAATATGTTGAATTTCCTCATTGCTCAAAAAACTTTAAATACAACTTTTTCTGAGAATCAAGAAAAAGCATTAGAAATACAAAGTACCCATGAATGGTTCATAGAGCAGCAAGCTTCAAGATTCACGCTGCAGTTATCTAGAACCGTGGAGCATTAATTGAGCGCATCATCCATAAATCAGGCATGTCTGTTTATGCCATGTAGCTTATAAAGGATTTAAGGCAGAGTGACCTTTATGATTCTAACAAAAACTTTAGACCTTCTTCTAAAACACGTAATAATATTACTACCGGTGTAAAAGGGTAGGTGGTCCTATGAAATTATGGTCCTATTTCCATTGATTTATATGGTGACCTAAATACTACTCTTTCCCTTATTATCTTATACACAATCAGGGCCAGTAAGGGCCGATTAGAAAGGGGACCATAATCCCCAGGGGACCATAATCCCCAGGGGACCATAATCCCCAGGGGACCATAATTTCTTTCACACCGGTAATAAGTGAGATAAAGCTGGTTGCAAGGGTTCACATTTCGGACCGACCCGGAGGTCTGCACTTCCGAATAAAAGCAAAATTATAATTGACTTTACATCATTTGACAACCCGGAAAATGACCTGATATTCTCCAAGTTATCATTCTGTGTTTCATCAAAATCCAAGACGACCGCTGCAAGCATCTCATACTCTACCACAGCGATAACTGTAGCCGATAGATGTAACTGTATAGGCTTGTATAACCAAGGGTTTCGTTAAAGGCCCCATGTAAAGTTTAAACCACTTTGGCTTATATTGTAGTCTTACCCAATGTTATCAAAGTGTGATATGTGAAATTTTTTTTTTTAATTTCAAAAAGTGGTTTTTGATAGACTTTTTGTTCCAAAATTTGTGAATTTATTTAAAACCAACTTTTAGAAGTCACTCATATCTTCTAATTAACCACAATTCATACCAATGCATAGCATTCATCCTCCCATGTTTTTTGCCAAAAAAAATTAAGAAAATCGGTTGATAAACAAGCGAGAAATGAACTTATCAGTGCATGAAAATGGTTCTGAGAAAAATGCATTTCAAAATTTTAGTTCTCATAGAAACCGATGGTACAATGATATCTAAAACATAGTTTATTCTTCCTTTTAACCTGGTTAGACAATCAACATTGGTTTTTTATGAAAGTCTCGCATATTAAGAAAAGATTGACATTGAAAAAAAAATTCAATTTTTTCAAAAAGTTTTTGGTTACCTTAGTGACATCACTAATGTTTCAAAATATTTTTGATGAGCTAAAACATTGAAGTGGCCCATTAAATATGACATTTTATTATTGAAATAGTGTGTCTTTTGTTCAATCTTTGCATTGGTGTTAAAAATATAATCTTTTTTGAAATGCATTAAGAAATATTTGATGATTAAGAAATTTTAATTTCTTTTGAAAAATGGCGGGAGATTTAATTATTTGAGAAATGAACTGCTCACAACTTTTTTTTCAAAATTTATTTTTTTGTTCAAAAATCTCTAAAATCACTTTTTAAGTCCTGACAAATAGTAAATGAATGATAAAAAAATATTTTCAAACTTTAGACGGGGACTTTAAGAAACCATCTTACATCTATCAACAGTTTCAAGTACCTGGTCTCCTAACTTAAGCTTAAAGTTACTTCTATGGATGTATAGTAACCAAGAATAAAAACTATCATGTATCGATTTTTGATGGTACTTATACAATGCCTGGATTGTGATGGCACAATCACGTTGCATCAATGGGGATTTATTAAACTAAGATTAATTTGCCTAATGTGTTGGCGTATTTGTGGTGAAAATAAATAAGTTATATCATCAATTGAACGCATCCAACAAATAGTTGCATTTACAATATTTATGTAAATACACAAAATACCATTTATCAAAATCTATGCTAATGTTCATTAATACGCTGATAAGCATTTACGGCTCATCATTATTAACGCATAGCTGATCAGATTACAAGTTGGTCATAGTAATGGTATACTACACAGTCGTAAGAATATGAAGATTTGAAATAGTGTCAGAGACTTGGGGAGACTTGTTGAACATTTTTAAATTTCATTTCTGAAAACGGCCACACACCGACTATCAACATGATTCTACGAATTACGATGACAAAAAAGATTTGAGGAATGATATATGCACGGAACTTATCTTTATCAGCTTTATAAAAAGTAAGTAGTTTACCATTTTACTAATCTTCACAATTTAAACTATAAAAAGTCGATTGCAGTTTATTATTCTTTTCATGAAACTTGGAATCTGGAGTCTATTGTTTTTGCCTGTTTTCTTCTTCTTCTTCCTCTCGGAAAGATTTCTCGCTAACTAGAAGAGCTTACTTTGATCTGCTTACATGTCAAACATAGCTCAATAACCTAGTTTCTAGGAAATTAAGTCAACTTTTTATCTAGGTCAAAGGTCAAGATCTAGGTCAAATCTTACATTTTCAACATTTTTCGTTTTATTTTCGTCAATATTCTTCGTACCTCCTTCATCTTTTTTCAGCATGTACCTTAGAAAAAGCGAAATCGAGAATATGCCATCAGGTTTTTGATTACTCTTACCGATTTTGAGATATGGCGTCCAGAATGTAGGTCAAAACAACAAGTTCTCCAAATTGAACGTATGAGTTAGGGGTAACACTTTCTCAGGAATCCGAATCTGCAAATCAAATTTGGATTCATCTTCCGGTTTGGAAGTGATGGCGTTTTGAAGTCTCAAAAATTGCTATTTTGGTATTCAATGTTAAGTCAATGAGGCTGGAAAAGTATGCATTTTGAAACATAATGAAAGCCTACGACAAAAGTGGACCTCAACATTTACTTTGTCTCAACATTTGAACATTAAAAGGCCTAGGTCAAAATATAGGTCAAATTTTAATTTTTTCAGGAATCAGAATCTGCAAACAAAATTTCGATCCGACTTCCGGTTCGGCTTAAAAATAAAAGGTTCTCCAAATTTAACATGTGGGTTGTGAAATAATGGGAGAATTTTCTCAGAAATCCGAATCTGCAAACTGAATTTCGATCCGACTTCCGGTTCGGAAGATATGGCATTTCGAAATCTCACTATTTGCTAAATATGGTGCCCAATGTCAATGGGACCAAAGAATTTTTTGAAGTGTAAAAAACGAGTACAGCTAAACATAATGAAAGCTTATAAAAGAAGGGGATCTCAAAAGCTACTTTGCTTCAGAACTTGGACACCAATATGCCTAGGTCAAAATCTAGATTAGAATTATAGTTTTCTTTATTTTCGCGATTCTGACACTACACATTAATTATATTTTCGACATTTGGTATACAGATAGCAAAGAGTATGCATATAGCGGAAGCTTTTTGCCGTCAGAAAGTATGTTGACCCATTTTAGAGATACGGTGTAGGTCAAAACAAAGAATTCTCCAAATTTAACGTGTGAGTTATGAAGTAAGCGTAGAATTTTATCAGACGTCTGAATCTGAAGTCAGAAATGAGATCTGACTTCCTGTTAAGATTCGATGACGCCAGCTTAAAAAGTCTGAAATCTGGATTCTTAAATTAAACTTGTTCAATTTATATGTCTAGTTTTTCATATATTCGCGTCGTTTATACTAACCGGTGACACAGTACCCAATACTACTCAACATAAATCGTTCCGGACTTGATTTTCACAACCGTTTGGACTCCGATCTATGGAAAAGTGTAGAGGTAGGTTTGTAAATCTGGTTATAAAATTGCTTTCACTTGACTTTATGTAAATATTTGGATTTAAATAACTTACCATATATCCTAACTTCAGGCACCCGCAAATGCATTATTTGTACGAACCGTTTGCTATAGTCTTGTTATTTCGGAAGTGAACGCTTTTGTCAGTGTTTTCATCTATTTTGCCTGAAAATCACTAGCCTGTCTTGTATTCAATGTATACACCGATTCATATTGAAAGTAGCCATATTGTGTACGAAAATCACGATTTAAAAAGTTTAAATAAGTAGCAATTGTCGAAAGATTCTGTTTTCGATTTAACCATTTAGACATGACCAAAATATTCCAGTTAAGATGTTGACTTGTTATTGGAACGATTCTGACTTATGGAGCACATTGAGGTTTAACCATTTGGAGGTGTGGAACAGCTCCATAAAAATGATATATTTCCAACAAATCATCACAGTGGATGAGGACAGTGAACGAAGTTGTCTGAGTGATACTATCTAAATGATTACGTATCATTAATTAAACCGGCGACAGTTTTGAAAATAATTTTTCGCCTCCTGTGTTATTTCAATGGGAGGGTTCTTTGAAAAACAATTTTGACTTTAAAGCCCTATAACTTTGTTGAACCTGCAGAAACATATCATTTTTTGTTAAATAAAGTTAGCAAATTCAATTGCCTGCCTAACTCGTATTTTTTGCAAGGACTCGGATGAATGGATATTCTGTTATATGACTTGCGGCAAACCTACCATTTCCCATTGGGTAACATGGGAATGTCGATTTTCAAAAATTCATCAAATTTATCATTAAATTTTGACTTATTGTAATTGAGGAAAAAAATTGAGAAAATTTTGAGGTATTGGAAATAAAGTCAAATTACGTTTCCATCAAATATTATAAATATTTTCATCGTAGGTTAAGTTTTTTTTTTAATTCAAAGGTAGAGAGGCTTTAACACGTAGTGCAATGGGTGAGCTAAGGTTGCCAAATATATGGAGGGTAGTGTAAGGTATAAATACCATTACAAGAGAATTCAAAATCGTAATTTTCATCATGTCGAAATCGTTAAGTGTACAAGACAAGTCCGTGTCAGAATAATGTCGTTAACTCCACTTTTTACATTTCGGTCATTTATGGCAAGTTGAAGGTACAGGTACTTAAAATATTATTACGATATTTAATGTAGTGAATACTATTCCACGTTAAAAATGATTTTTTGTAACGATTTTTGAACGTCTTCTTTGAGCCATTCTGATGAATGTCTCATCTCATTCCCCTACGAAATGAGTCCAAATGGTTATAAAAAACAAGTCCGGAACGATTTACATTGGGTAGTTATGATCACCGTGGGTGAGCACGTTAAACGCAAGTGTTTAATTTGCTAAATGTTATGTGTTACCCCTTAAATCTATAAATTTTTCATGAGTGTTATTTTAAAAGAAGATAAGATATCGATAACTTTAATGCAAATTCGATCTAAGCAACTGGCATTACGTTCAATGATCCTGAAGTTTAGGTGAACATATGACGACAATACATGGATTACATGATATAACATCAGAAATCAATTCAACCATTTTGTTTATGAATCTTGTTAGATTTTATGTAAGTACATGTTAATTTATAATATCATCATCGAATAATATCCAGAAGTAAATGCCGAATAAGAATTGAAAACATTCTACAAACAAAATGATTAAATCGACAGTATGGATCTGTTTGCTCTATATAATAATATTCTTTACAATATTGACGACTTATTTGTTTTATAATAATGAATTTACTGTTATATATACAAATAATAGTCTAACATATCCTTGAACACTATGTTATTGAAATAGCGAGACATTTGTTTGGCGTATCCATTTTTATAATGGTTACACTATTAAACAGTGTGTAGAGTATACCTGTCTGAATTGGGAGGTTTCAAACATTAACATTTCAATGCAACTTTTTTCAAAATACACTCGATCTCAACAATCCCATGACAACTAGTCCCATGACAACTAACATGGGCATTCGGTGGATACACTATTTGGCAAGGAAAGACGCAATGCACTTTAGAACCCGAATCTTTGTATTGGGTTTCATTTTTTGATCTTATAACATCTGCACGCATTGGCACCTTTGAAAAGCATTATAAGAAGTACAGGGATTAAAATAAATGTTTCAAGTCAAAACATGTACCCGTTCCACTGGAAAAAAGGGTTACAAGGACTACAAGTATTCAAATTAAGTTTCGATAAGACAAAATATATCCGAACTTCAGTGGCAAAAAGGGTTACAAGAACCACAAGTATTCAAATTTAGTTTCGATAAGACAAAATATATCCGAACTTCAGTGGCAAAAAGGGTTACAAGAACTACAAGCATTCAACTTAAGTTTCGATACGACAAAACATGTCCCCGTTTCACTGGCAAAAAGGGTTACAAGGACTACAAGTATTCAAATTAAGTTTCGATAAGACAAAATATATCCGAACTTCAGTGGCAAAAAGGGTTACAAGAACTACAAGCATTCAACTTAAGTTTCGATACGACAAAACATGTCCCCGTTTCACTGGCAAAAAGGGTTACAAGAACCACAAGTATTCAAATTAAGTTTCGATAAGACAAAATATATCCGAACTTCAGTGGCAAAAAGGGTTACAAGGACTACAAGCATCCAACTTAAGTTTCGATACGACAAAACATGTCCCCGTTTTACTGGCAAAAAGGGTTACAAGGACTACAAGTATTCAAATTAAGTTTCGATAAGACAAAATATATCCGAACTTCAGTGGCAAAAAGGGTTACAAGAACCACAAGTATTCAAATTTAGTTTCGATAAGACAAAATATATCCCAACTTCAGTGGCAAAGAGGGTTACAAGAACTACAAGCATTCAAATTAAGTTTCGATACGACAAAACATGTCCCCGTTTCACTGGCAAAAAGGGTTACAAGAACTACAAGTATTCAAATTAGTTTCGATCAGACAAAATATATCCCAACTTAACTTGATTACTTGTATTTCTTGTAACCCTTTTTGCCAGTGAAGTTGTGATATGTTTTGTCTTATCGACTACTTAATTTGAATAATTAGTAGTTATTGTAACCATTTTTGCCAGTGAAGTTGGGATATATTTTGTCTTTTCGAAACTTAATAGCATTCACTTAGGATATAAACTTGCATTAGCCCAGACACCATTTTCTATGCCCCGGTCTCCTTTATCGGCATGTTTGCATAATCCCTGTCATCAACCTATTATATAGAGCTCGTCTTATCACAGATATACATGTAGGCTAAGGTTCATTGCAATATTTTATTCGATATCATATTGTCAATGTATTTTAATCTGTGGATTTTTAATCTATGATGGCCCAAAAAGGAATGAATCTGAACGCCATAATTCACATAGTTTATCTGTGAGATCACCACTTAAAATAATCAAGAATCATGAATTAACTAAGTTAAATATATCATCATCAATTATGACCGT